TTTTTTTCAGCTGGAATTTGTGGTCCCAGTATCAAGCACATAGGCAATAAGTTTGGGCAGAAAAGAACCAGGTTTCATAACTTACAATAAAGACTGATAAAACAGTGTTAATGAGATATTTAGACCTGAACCTGGCAGGGCCACTATCTTGTCTTTTTGGGCAAAACATTTAACTCTCACAGTGCCTTTCCCCACCCTGGAGTAGAAATAGGTACTGGGAAATTGTTAGGGAAGCCCGACGTAACCGGTTTGGGATAATACACCTAGTAGCTTCATTGTAAGGAAACTGGGAAAAGCTTCAGCTGGGCGGTCAACTTGGCCCTATACAGTACAGACATTCAGCTGATTTATGCCAATTGTACACATGTATGCTCATTACAGATGATTGTTGGAAGCCAGAGAACTGCGTCAAAAGCTGGGAGTCAACCAGACCATCAGAAGAGGGGCACAAACATGTAAGTCTGTGTTGCTTTCTTTGTTTAGGCCTTCAAGTTTATTACTAACAGTATTTTATGAAAAAGGACAACTATAACTTGGAAAATGTGATCTTGATATTAAACTAGTACTCAGCCAAAAGAAGGGTTATGGTTTTCCTTAACCTAGATTTCTTTTATTTAATTTATAGTGTGCCAGTATCTCCAGTCAAAAGACGACCAGTGAGTATATACCTACAGCTGTGTTCATTTTGCATTCTCTTTGCAGGAATCATGTCTTTCCTGATAGTACTCTGGCTTTTGTCAATGAATTAGCTGTATTTACTTTAATTTATTATTTGTTTGCAGGAGTCAGTAGATCACCAAGTAGAATTACCACATATTCCACCAACTAAAAATCCAAGTCAGTTAGTGGATTGTAATAAAAAGATGTGAGTGGCACTTTACAGTGAAGATTTTTTCCTCTTCCTTTGAGATACATGAATGGACCTTTATTAATGTTTCCCTCTGTTTTACTCAGTGTTGGTTCCAACATTAGTGTGATTTGATATTAACTTGATGTTACGTGTTCTTCACTCTGTAGTTTAGTTCATCAACAGAGAAGGAAGGGATATAGACCACTTTCTTCTCCACCAAAAGGATCATGTGTAAGTTCTCTTGTTTTGTTTTTTGTTTTGTTAAATTCTCTTTTGTATTGAGATTGTATCTGATTTAGTTGTGCTGGTTTTGCTGCACACAGTTTGCTAAATCAGCTAAACCAAGTTTGCTACCACAAAAAATACAAATGAGTAAAATGTGAGAAATTACTAAGAAAAGGCCAATATTCACAAACCAGCTGTTACCCTGTACCTCTGTTTGTATTCTATATTCCTTATAGACCGAATATCACATAATAAACGACATTAACAAGACATTCAGGCTACTTCATTACCCTCTTGGGTATTAATTTTATAATGATGATTAAAGTGATATCTAATTTATTTGTTATTTCATGCACAGCATCAACCCATCAGACCCAATGAAATGTATTCCCAGTGTAAATGTAAAGGTTGTGTCAGAGCCCTGGCTGAAGAAAGTGAAATAACATTAGCTGGCTACACAGACAAGAAATCTCCCAAGTATGTCGTGACGTTCATGTGTTGTTTGAAATGTTTGTTGTTGGTTTTGGTGGCATTGTTGAACGTAGTAAATATGTTGTTCATTTGAAATGTTAAGTTCTCTTTTCAAAATGAACAGTGCTTGCCTTACATTTAATGAAGACAATCCCATGGACATAAGGAATCTCCCATTCTTTATCACCAAGAAGGTTGGGGGTTAGGGGTCAGAGGATTTTGGTTGCATTGCAGTAAAATTTACCTGTTCCCTCCATAACACACCCTAATATTGTTATGATTCCCCCTCAACGCAATTACTTGATTAGCTTTTATACTCAGTTGCGGATGACTGACCCCTCCTCCATTCTCCCTGAAAACCATGTGATCCCGCTAAAATCCCTGGGGCCCCAAGGCAATAATTAATGACTGGTCCTTTAAATTGTTTCATTTTGTTGCTCGGGATCATTGTGATGTAAGATTTAGATCAAGTTTCAATTTGGTTCATTCATTCTTAGGTCAGAGATTTTGCCAAGTATCGGTGATCATATTGTTGTTCGAAGTCATCTTACAGGTATGGATGTAGTATCCTAGACAATGATAAAAAAAATCCATAATTGATTTCATTGCCATTAAATTTTGCTATCATTTGTCCGATAGCTAATTGCATGTGCTGATCTCTAGGTACAGTAAAATATGTTGGACCAGTTAATGGGGAAGAGTCTTACATCGGCCTCCACTTAGATTCACCAGGTAATATTTTAAGCGACACACATCAGAAATTATTAATAAAAGTTCTCAAGTGGATTGGTTGGACCATTCAGAAATTTTGTTTTCCACATTATTACGACTCAAAACTTCATCTTCTGACCATGCATCAGGTTTAAGTGGGTCTGCCCCGGGGAATTTTGCATTTTGTTAGTCATATTTTTAACATCATAATATTTTTAACATATTTTTGACATCAAAAACCTCCACCAAATTTCCAATCATTCTCCTGAGTGTTAACTGCAGGTGTATGTAGGAAGGTGGGGAAATGTTGACCACCCCAAATTTGATTAGAAGCTGATGCATCAAACTCTTTTTAATCGTAGTGGGGAATCACAGTGGATCTTTGGATGGAGTTCATTATTTCTCCTGTCCACCAAACTATGGAGCTTTTGTTCATATTGATGATGTGTTATGCATTACAACCTCAAAGGTGAGAAAAATTCTCTGTGTAGAGTAAACAGAATCAGAAAACTTCATCCTGAAAGGGAAGAGTATGGTGGGGGGTGGG